TGCTGCCAGCCCGAGCCACGGCCCCACCACAGCACCCAAGGGGACGTTTGCCAACAGTTTCCACCCTGTTTGAGGCACCTTTTCATCCTCTGCCACATGGAGGGCTGGGAAAAGGGAACTGACTTCCATGTGCATCTTGTACCACGAGAAGCAGCACCTCGAGCGAATTCCAGACTGCAGCACATGGACAGGAAAACTCCCTTTGGAGAGTCACAAAAACGTCCCTGTGCTGGCAAGCTGGAATTCAACAAAACCCTCCAGAACAGTTTAACAAAACCGGTGTGCAAAAAGGAAATAGCCTGAAACCAAAGGTCTGGCTCCAGAGCAGGGAGTGAAGCAGCATCCAAAGAGCTGGACACCGAGGCAGACACAGACACTCCCTGGTTGGAATTATCCTGCTACAACAGTGACCAAACAACTGTTAGGGGCCAAATTAATTACTGGTTTGTTTACTTCGAGCAGCTGAGAGAGAGACTTGCAAAGACATTTCCCCCTCCCCTTCTGTCAGCTCTTCAAATCCGGGTGTGCTCCCCCTCTTCCATAACATCCAGGGGGGGATCTGACATCTCCTTCCTCACTCCCTCCCAGCTGCACGGAAAACAGGCCTCACCCCTCACTGACCAAACATGGGAGGGAAATATTAAGGGTTTAACTCCATCAACAGTGAAAATAATTTCCCTTAAGGTGCCACCCGTCCTCCCCACTGCACCCGCTGACTCTGGGGGGATTCGTTTACTCACCTTCAGGCAAAAGATCCATGTCCACAGGATTTCCACTCCCAGGTCTCCCCTGTCACTGCCAGCACCAAACAGCCCCTGTGCAGCTGCCAGGGGGTGCTTTGTGTGCCTATAAATGCCAGTAATTAATTCCCTGTGTCCAGGGTTCCATCGTGCCAGGACTGACACCCGTATGGAAAACTGCTCTGGGGTATGGCCAGAGGGGACACCTGGCAGGGCACTGGAAAAACCCAGAGTAGGGAGAACATAGGGAATTACACCCCCTGCTCCTGGAAAACCCCACAGGATAGAGAATGTAGGGAATTGCACTCTCTGCTCCTCCAGCTCTGCCCGGGGCAGTCAGGCAGTGCTGGAGCACCACTACAAGATCGACCCACGCTGGCCCAGAGGGACGAGTCCTTTCCCTGCCTCTGGCACCATCCCATGGGGCTCCAGCTTCCTCAGACACATCCAGCTGGAACAGCAGAGACAGGAACACACATAAGGGCAGCACAGCATTCCAGACTGGCTCCAGGTGCCAACAGGGACACTTCCAAGAGCTCCATCAGGGGGGTTCTGTGCCATCCCAGCCCCCGGGCAGGTCCTGAGCCCCGGCAGGAGGAGCTCCCAGAGCCAGAGGAGCTCCAGGGCAGCTGCAGCCTCTTCCTGCCAGCCCCAAACAGCACCAGCCGTCGGCACAGCCCCCTGTCCCACACGAGGGAGCTCAGCCCAGGGCTGGGAGCTCCTGCAGCCACGGGCAGAGCTCAGCAGAGCCCTCACGGGTCACAGCACGGCCCAGGCACATCTCCTGGCCACATCCTCTACCAACGAGAATTCTCCGGGAATTTTAGGACCTTAATTCCTTCCTGACAAGCCAAAGCACCAAGGAGACAACATCCTGAAGTGGCTTTAGGAAAGGAAAAGGAGTGACCTCCACTAGATTTGAGACTAAAGCCACCGATGGGACACGTTTGGTTGTGGGATGAACCTGCCCTGGCTGAAGGCAAACATGGAGCAGGGACACAGGGCAGGGCTGGAACAAGAGATGGTGTCAGTCAAACAATGCTCCTCATCCCAAACACCCCTCCAGAGCCCTGAGACTCCTTAGTCAGAGGCTGGACATGGAGACTCCGAGTGGATAAAGGATCTCCACAGGATGTCAGGGTAAGTGCAGGGACCCACTCCTGCAGCTCAGAGCCACAGAACCACTCAACTTCTTCAGGACAACTCTGAGCCACTTCCCTGCCCGAGGTCTGACACCACTGCTACATACTTGGTTTGACTGTAAATAAGTTTTAATAGGATTTAAGAGCTCATGAGAACGTTATAACTCATCAGGGAGAAAAAGGTTTTGCCTTTTACAGCTGAATTTGTCTGTAGTTCCTACACATCATAAACAAAAACTGCTATAAATAAATTAGATTTTAAGTCCACACATACAGTTGGATTTTCACTGAGCAGCTGCTGAGGCCATCCTGCAGTTAAGTCCTAAAACCACAGGGGGTTTTATGCAAACCTTTCTTTTCACCTCAGTGAAGACATCCCAAGCATGCAATCATTAATCTTCCCTAACTACACAACTGCATTTTAAAGTTGATAATTACTCAGCCTTTCCCCCCAAAACACACTTGAAGGCACCAGTATATGAACTATTGGCCTATAAAATTTCACTTCTTAAAAGAGCCATTAAATCATGTCCAAAATCTCTATTTCTTCCCTGAAGACCATCCAGCACCTTTCCCTGCCAGAAACCAACTACAAACCAGATCCCAAAGGGAACATCCAGCCCCAGCTGGGACTGACCAAGGTCCAAACCCCTGAAAACAGCAGGAGAGAAAACTCCTCCAAGCCAGAACCCGCTGGAAGAACTGAGGTACCACCAGAGTCAGGTCTAGTTCGTGTCACACAGACTTTCAAATATCACCTCAACACTGAGAAATAAAGCAAACCCAGAACAACACCCAAACCCACACCAGCAAGCAGCCCCCAACAGAAGGATTAAGACAGGGCAGTGAGAGAGGCATAGCCAAGGTCTGTCCAGTGAGCTCTGCTTCGGGAAGGAACGGGAAGGAACCGGTTTCTGGTTGTACTGGTGTTTAATGTAGAAATGAAGCATCACAGAAAAAAAAAAAAAAAAGACCTGTTGTGCTTTTTGGCATTTTCCACTGACCCCTGTGAACTGTACAGTAAGTTGTGTTGTCAGAAACAGAAAAGGGAACTGGATTGTTATACAAAACTCTTCTGTATAAACAAGGAATGGCCTCCATCAGCAGGTGAAAGCCCATCAGAGAGGAGAGCAGAGGTGGCTGCAGCAGAGTCGAGCGTGGCTGGTTCTGCCTGTGGCACTGGCAGAGTGGCTGGAGAAGCTCACTAGGTACAGACATGCCATGGCTAAGGAACGGGCACTTCCTAGCTCTGGATCTATGACAGGAATATCATTTGCACTGATCAGACACCTAAATGAAAGATTCCTACTGTCAAAGTGAAAGCAGGGGCAGAAAGATTAAATTAAAGCCACTGGTCCAAAAGTGGTTTCTAGCAGCTGGTCCACTGTGGGTTCTGCTGGTCCTGCTCAGGCTGAGCACTGGTGGTGGCACCAAGGACACCGGGATGGCTGGGCTGGGGGGTCTGTCCCGCCCCCAGGTGAGCACTGGTCCAGTTCAGGGATGCACAAAGCACACGGTGGGGACTCCACTCCGAGCGCGGTTCAGTGTTGCTCCCAAGTGGTTCTCGGTAAGGCAGCAGCCCAGGCCAGGGCATCCTCCCTGTGCTCGCTACTTCCCATCAACTTTGCTACAAAGATACAGCAGAAAGACCTTTCTCCTACAGCTCCTCAGAGGACAGCTTTTACTCTCTCTCTCTCTACGTCAGCAGAAAGCTCTTGGTGACACCTTCCATCCATAACAACAATGCAACTCTTTTGAACTCAAACAGTTTTATTTAATGTTTTCTTGCAGACTTTCTGCAAAGGAGCTTCTTTTGGAAGAAGAGAGAAAGAAGGGGTGTTTTTTTTTGTTTTTTTTTTTTTTTGGGAATACCAAGTTAAAAATGTGAGCCGAACTAAACATGCCATACACATGCTGAGAGGAATTGAACACACATTCATCCGTATGGGCACTCTTCAGTAGACTGGACCAGTGTTTCAACGCAAATTCCAGCCCCCAGAGAACTACATGGTTTAGATTTCACAGTATGACTTTTCCCCCCTGGAACTCGGGGGGAGGGGGGGAGGAGAAAACCTTAACTGGTTAAGTGACCAAGTTCTTAGCTGCTCTGTCCATCGAGGCTCTGAGACATCAGGAAGGACTGGACCACCTCCTCCGTGGACTGGGGGCTGGTGCTCACGTCCTCCAGGGCATCCGTGACCGAGAACTGCCGGTCCCGCAACCGGTTCCAGTTGGCCAAGATATTGTGGTACTCAAAGACCTTCTCGTAATTGCCAATGGAATTGTACAGTTTAATGAGACCTCTGTAATCATATTCAAGTCCACTGTATCCTTCCCCAAAAAGCTTCTTTCCTAAAGGAATCCAAAAGAAAACTGGATTCAGAGGTGGAACACCCACACGCTGCAATCGCTCAGGTCATTTTTAGCAACAGCTTGAACTTTTTTGTCAGGGCAAATCAAGAGCACAAAACAACACACAGTGTTATCAACAACCTTCCTGGATGATGGTCTGAATTCCATCCACCTCCTGCTCTGAGGGTGCTGGAACTGCTCCTCAGGGACTCTACAATCTCACCTGCACCACAGCTTTACATGAACAGAATCTACAGCCCTGCACAGGAGACTCACTTTTTGCCCCAGTCACACTCCAAATTCAATTTAAACAGTGAAGTTGTTGTTGTTTTCTACCTTAAAACCATATTTTTTTTCTGTAACACACTGTACATAACTGTATGAAGCACAACTGTGCCCCAAACCTGTGCTACAGCATGGCCCAAGGATGCATTTGATTGGGGATTAAAATTCACTGCCAAGGGTAACAGGCAAGACAAATATTTAATGAGAGGAGTTATTCTGATGGGCACAATCATTGCCCATGTCTTTCAAAATTTGACTACATTCTGCACTCAGGTTCTGGCCACAAGTCCAAAATGTATTTAATGGGTCTGTTTTCAATGAATTCTGAAGGAACACTAAAAATAACACGAGTTCAGAATTCAGTCCCCAGGAGAACATTAAGGAAAAAACCCATATTTACATTGAACACCCATATGAAATAAAGTATCTTGTATCTCATGAAGTTCTTTACTAAAACTTTCAGACACTTAAATGTCCTGTGTCACTCACCAATTGCTATGGATCTCAAATAAAGCTTTTCAGCATTTTCATACTGGTTCATGTCATAGTTGTAGAGGGAGGCGAGATGGCCCACGGAGAGGGCGACTTCATAATCCTCCTGGCCCAGGAGCTGCTCCTTGATCTGAATTGCCTTGATGTGCATTTCCTCTGCTTCCTGGAGGGTCAAAATCACACAGGTCAGTCAGACACCTCTCACCCCACAAACGGAGGAAAAAGTTTAAAGAAACACAGCTGTGTTGCTGAACAGTCTGTAGTATTTTAGAAAAGGCAAAAAGTAACAAAGCCAAAACCAAAGCAAGTTCTCCAAATTCCCAATGAAGTGGATCATTAAATGCTATCACCAAACCCCCTGTCACCCCCTGAGGGCATCAAGCACCCCCATGGACCGTTTCTGCACAAAGCTTTTGGGATGAATCACAAAGCACAAGTTTTCCAAGCACAAAACTACCGACTGAGGCTGTGAAATGTGGACACTGGAAACCCTCCCCTGTGACAGATTCTGGATGCCTTGCAGATGAAGTCAGGCCCTTCACACCCCCAGTCTCACCTTGAACTTCCTCATGGACTGGTACAGCCTGCCCAGGTTGCCGTAGTGTTTGGCTGTTTGCACGTTGAACTCCCCAAAGGCTTTTTTGGCCAACTGGAGCGAGGAGAGGTGCAGGTCATGAGCCTCCTGGAGCAGCCTCTGCTCTGTCTCCTTGTTGTGACAGTCTATGGCAATCTCCTCCAGGATGAGTGCTGGGGGCAGAGAGAGGGGCTGGCACTGTGCTGCACACCCAGGGCTCCCTGTGGGCAGCACAGAGCCATCCCTGGACACACCTCGGGACACAGCTCACCAGCTTGGGCTGTCACTAACTGGGACCCCCAGGGATCAAGCTCACAACCTATATTTGTATATTCTGTGTTTTTACACCCCTCAAAGCCTTCCAGACAAGTTGTAAAGAGTTTTCTTTGTGTTTTACAGGTGTGTTGACAGAGAACAACAAGGATTACAAACACCCAGAGTCACCTCCATTGAAAACAACAACTCAAGTTCCATTGTCTGTAAGAGAACAGGATAAACAAATCCCAAGGAAGGATTTCAAGGGAAGGGAACTACCTTTCACTCTCTTCGAAGAGGCCAAGAGAAGATGGTCCTCTGGGAGAATGTGAGTTATAATGCCAATAGCACGTTCAGCATGGAATCTGAAATCAAGTGGAAATAAAAAAATTCAAGGTACCTCTCTGAGTCAGCAGCTGACACAACATCCCAAACATTACTGCAATCAACATGCATTAAATCCTAATTGGAAAGCTGGATCATTTAAGAACATTTTTCTCCATTTACAGCAGTAAACGTGCTGCCAGACCCCCAAAGGGCTGCACTCACAGTGCATTGTCGAATTTGCCAGAGCTGTACTGGTGAACATATGAAGAATAAGCCAGGTCTTCGTGGGCTGTGGCTACGTGGATGTTTTTACCTCCAAACACCGACTGCCGGATATCGAGCGCTGTCTGCGAGAGGGGCCAGAAAAAAATCCCACAGTTAATACAGAAAAAAAATCCCTGCAAAAAGGGACAAAACCCCACTGCCTCTGACATTCTCTACATACTTGAGACACTGAATATATAAAGGACACATGAGTCAGGGAAAGAATATAGAAAGAAAAATCCCATAGTTGGCGGTGTTCGGGTTTTTTTTAAAGAACAGCATTGCAGTAAATAAATCAACTATTATCTGTCCCCATGAATTAACTACAACATTTCAGAGACTGAGAACACCAAGCCAGACACAGTCCTGCTGCCTACCTGATAGATGGCAACAGATTGGCAGATATTGTCTACGTTGAGCAAGTAAAACCCATAGTCTAGTAGCGTGTCAGAGTATTTGGGGTGCTTGGCTCCAAAATGCTCCCTGGAGAAGAAACACAATTCCATTATTACAAATCAAGGCAAGTCAAGCATCATCCTAAAAGGGTCTCTCCTGGAGTGCTGCTCACCTGGCCAGGTACACGGCGTGCTTGATGAGCTGCTCAGCCTTCTTGAACTCCCGCTTCACCACACAGGCCTGAGGGGAAAGGGAGCACGTGAGGAGCTGGGCACCCCCCTCAGCTCCACACACTGCTGGTTTTATCTCAAAACACCCCTCTGCTTATTAAAGGACTTGGTAGTTATTTAAGGAAAGGATCACAGTATTAATAAACTTGTTTTATTCTGCCAGAAATGCCTGACTGAAGGGTTTGTGCTGTCTAGATCAAAGAGGGAAGAGAGCACCTTTTTATGGCAGCTCACAGCTTAACGTTGTCATGATGGTCATTTGTGCAGTTGAAGCTCAGTTTGAGAGAGGAAAAACCCCAGAAATACATCCCTGCCCAAGGCTCCTGAAATGGAGCTGGTCCCAAGAATTCTGGAGATCCAAACTATCCCCACCCGCTCTGGGTTGCAGATCAGGTACAAAAGCAACATGGAAGCTTTTAAATTCACCTTTGAGGCTTGTCGTAGCACATCCACCACCACCTTCACGGGCAGCCCCACCGTGATCTCCTTCATGGCCTCTATGCACCACTTGTAGGCCTGGGGGACACAGAGGGACCAACACAATGAAGCTGGAACTTCACCACAGCAAGAAAAATGTTACCTGGCTCTGAAAAGCTGCTCATTTACATTCCAAAATTTCAAATATTCCGTCCAATTGTTTACGTGTAGTGGAACTTGACCTAAAAACCACTTTTAAGTTAATACTGAATGTGTAAGTATTTCATGTTAGCCTAAGCATGTATTATTACAATTGCTTTTTCAGACAAAACTGTATTTATTATGAACATTTATAAAGATGTTTTTATAAAGATTATTTTATAATCTTTAAGTCATCCTCATAATTCCCACTGTGCAGGACAACAGTCGGTGGACTCGGGAGCCAAAGGAAAACCAGAGTTTACACAGTGGTTCCACTTCAGAGAAAATTTTTAGGAAACAGGTGTAAAGCTTTGTTACCTGTGCTCTGCTATGCCTTTTTACCCATTAAAAGGAGCTTTTGTAACACTTAGAGAGGACCAACACATCCCACCAAGGTATCACACATCCCAGCGTCGGTCCCGTGGACTAACTCAGAATGACACACAAACTGGCAAATCCAGGGTTTCTCTGGCAGTGCCACACACTGGGAGATGAGGGGCAGGATGTGGGTGATGCTGCACCCCCGGCAGGGTGCAGGGGCAGCCCCCAGCCCTCACCTCGTCGTAGTGGCTCTTGGCGAAGAGCAGGGCGCAGAGCTCGCCGTAGAGCGCGGCCTTGTTGGCCTGCTGGCCGTGCTTGGCCAGCTTGTCCATGTAGGACTGGGCCAGCTTGAACGTCTCCTCCCCCAGGTGGTATTTACAGTTCCCGTTCCGGACGTGCAGCAACCTGGGGGGACACAGAGGTGAGCTCAGGGAGGCTGGGAATCATTCACACACAGGATCAACCAGCTGGGAAAAACACCTCTGGGATCATCGAGTCCCACCTGTGATCCAACCCCACCTTGGCACCCAGAGCCACATCCAGGCTCTGCTTCAACACCTCCAGGGACAGTGACTCCACCCATTCCAATGGCTGATCACTCCTTCTGTACAGAACTTCTTCCCAATGTCCAACCTAAACCCACCCTGGCACAGCTAAGGCTGGGCCCTCTTGTCCTATTCCCTGAGAGCAGGGCCTGACCCCCCCACCTCCCCCCTCCTCTCAGGGAGTTGTAGAGAGCAATAAGGTCTCCCCTGAGCCTCCTTTTCTCCAGGCTGAGCCCCCCCAGCTGCTCCTCACAGGACCTGTGCTCCAGTTTGGTGTGGCACCCTCAGAACTGCCCTGGCTGGGGTCAGGAACACACAATTCTGTTCCCAGAGCAGTTCTGGGGCTGCACTTTGACTCTGGCACAGCAGGAATTGTCACTGTTGGAGATGTAAATGATTCACATATTGATGCAGTTTTGCACATTCAGTGCTTGAACCAGCCTGGTGTGGTGGCTTTGTGTTTTATTTTTCATAAAATCTGTTCTCCTCAATCCTGATGAAATGCCATTCCCAAAGCCCTGTCCTGTGCAGCAGGAAATCCCTTCCACCTGCTTCCCAAAGGATGGTAACCTCAGACAGCCACTGAGTGAGTACACACAGAGCTTGTTTTCCTGCATCTCTGCACTTTTCCCTCAAACCCTGCCTAGCCCAGGGCTCCAAATGGGCATTTTTGTCTTTTGGGGTTTCCTCACCAAAGATTTAGTCACAGTCATTTGACATGAGATCCAGCAGTACCAGAAGAGAGTATTTTCTTTACCCAATCCACAATAACTCCACCATCCTCTCCCTGCCCTGCCCTCTCCTATCCCACTGCCTTTCCCTCTCCAGGATTCACAGGAGCCTCAGGAAGCAGCCAGTCACACACAGCACTAGTGAAACCTCCTCCTGTTCCTCTAGAGAAGTAACAGCTTCAGCTTCTGGCAACCAAAGTTAAAATAAAAGTAAAGCATTTTTTTCATTAGTGTAGGTTGATGCTTATTTATTTTAATGAGATACATTTGGAATGGGTGCCTTATCATATTGCAAGCCCACGGGGCAGAGGTGGATTCCCAGCCAGGGCAGCTGTTCCTGCTCCATGGCAAATGCCTGCATGGAGCACACATGAAATCCAGGTGAATTAACCTCCCCTGGCCCCCCTGGAAATGTGTCATTAGACAGTGAGTAACAGAGACTGAAAAACAGAGGGCAAGGCTTTGGGAATCAGGACACCAGAACCCAGGGAGACGTGAAGCACTAAGTGGTGCTGCACTGCAAACAGGCTGGAACTCGGAGTTAATGGATGGCAAAAGCATTTTATTCCTGTTATGATACCTTAGGATAAAACTCCCAATAAACTGTTAAGGGGGAAGGAATGAACAGTGAAGGTTTTGCTCAAATTTTTTTCTTCCCTAAGCGTGTTTTCTGTTTCCACTTACTCCAAGCAGAGATTTAAGGTACTGCAGCCACGTGCTGTAGCACAGAAACACAGCTCAGTTCACCCTAAGAACTCAGCCTGTCCCTCGGTTTCCTATCCAATGCATCAGACTCAAACACTGACAGGAAAGGAAATAAAGTTCCCCTTTTCCCAAGCAGGGAGTGGAGGCAAGCACATGACAGATGTGCATTTGCTGCACAAAGAGAACATCAAAGAACAGACCTTCAAAAACCCTGCCAGCAGCTCCACAAACACCAGCCTTCCAGGGGCAAACAGCAACCAGGCTCAGGAACAGGCAGAGAAAAGCAACACCCACAGTTTTCCTTAAATATGGTCTGAGAACTAAACACGATGTGCAAGTGCATTGTGTGCTTGGGCACAGGAACATTGCAGCTACAAGAGTCAGGAATTATGAAGAAACTGGAGAGAAATTAAGCAAACAGCTTCCCTAAAGAGGCAAAACCATTCTGCCTGCACCATTCAGCTGGGAGCTGCTCTGCAACATCAAAACCTTGGAGCCCAAATCCCATGTAATGGCATAAGCCAGTGGGGATAGCACTGCAATTTAGATAAGCTCCTGGGAAAGATCCTATCCAGTGTCTGGATGCTTCAGTGATAGTGTCTTAAAACAAAGAAATCTCCCAAAAAACCAAGCTAAACCTAAAAGCCAATCCTCTAGGATAAGCAGAGTTTATGTGATCCAGCTCTGAGTAGCAAAAATCCTTTATTAATCCAAAGGAATTCTAGAAGATAAAGACAAGAGGAAGAGAAAAGGCCTCGGGACGTTTATGCTAATGGTTCTGAACCTCCTTTGATGTCTGCAACAACAGCTTTTAGGGACTAACCTCCCCCAATAAAACCAGTCTCTGGGAGCCAACACAATGTTACACAGCAGCTTAGGAAGTCTGAAACCACCAGAAAAAAAAACAACCCAAGAATCAGCAAAACGTGAAACAATGAAGAGGGGGAACCACATCCTCGTGTTATTTATTTGTACCTCGTTGTTTAACACACAATAACGAGAGAAAGCAAACCAAGAGGAGCATCACACACTCAGGAGAGCAGCACACAAGCTCATCAAAACCTCCAGTCTTCCCAGCTTCTCCACAGAATTTACTACTGCTGGTAGAAGGAAACACCAAGTCGTGCTTAAACAGCACAAAACTTCCCATGTTTGTGAATTCTATTCTATTACCAATGCAGTGCATTAATTCAACTCCCAGAGATCAGACTTATTAGCATTTAGAGCAAGAGCTGCCACTTTTTTAAAGGGTCACACTGGATTTGAGTTTTGCTTCCCTAAAACTCCCCCCAACCTCCAGTGCAAAGCCAGTTGTAAGAACAAGATTTCCTGGAGCAGGGATCAGGTGGGAGCCACACAAAGTTTCTCTCTGACATCAGAAGGCTGAGTGACATCACTGCTCTGTCCCACAGAAAGGTGTTTGGATTTCACCCACTGAGCCCTTCCCCGAGTGCTTTAAATCCTTTCAGTGTGACACAATCCCAAATAAGGGTTGCAGTGTGTTTGGGAGATGCCACAACATCTTCCCATTCCTGCTGCTGCCCAGAGGGATGATGTTCCTCAGGGAACAATGGCTGTCTCTACCAAACCCAGTCAATTCTAACACAGAATGCTTTTTCCCAGCCCCAAATGAAAATCTCCTTTCCACGACTGCTGTCCAACAGAGTGTTCCGTTTTTCCCTTTCTTTACCTTCTTTTCTTTTTTTTTTTTCCTATTCAGAGAAGGCAACAGTTTATTTAAAGCAACTTCCCCAGCTTGCCAAATGGCTTGATACCACCAGGGAACTTTTTTTAGACTAATTAGAAGGCAAAGCATCAAGTACTAACTGTGGTTCTGTATCCATCACTCCTCAGTTCTGGAAGGTGGGTACGTGTGCCCAGTCTCCTGGCATCAGTTTACTGCTGGAATGGCAGCCAGCAGAACCAGGCAGAGCAGTGTTGCCATGGCCCTGGGGCTGGCACAGCACATCAGCAGCTCCTGGCAAAGCCTCTTTCCTCTTCGTGTTTGCCCAGCCATAAAGAAGATGCAGGGCTTTTTTTGGAGCAGCTTCCCCAAACAAGTTTTGCTCTATATTCAACACAGCACATGCTTTGTTCCGTTTTGCAGCAGCTAAAAAAAGTTCAGTCCTGTCCTAGCTCTGCTCAGCAGCCCCCAGGTAACTCCTGTGATCCCTGGTGTTCCCAACAAACCCCACCCGGCCACTGGCTGCAGTTCATCTCACCTGGATACAGAGGTGGAAGAGCTACCAAAAACTGAAATATGATCTCTGTCAATGCAATATCAATCTCCACAGGCCCCTGAGAAACAAGGCAGGTTCAAAACCCAAATGCCTCCTAACAGCAAAAAAATTCTTTCCCAAATGTTTCCAGCTGTGGCTCAAGGTACCCACAAGAGCTGGAGAGCTGCACATCCAGATCTTTACCTAATCCCTGTGAAGCAAGAGAACTCACTGATCTGAACCAGGAAAGGTAAGTTTTTGCTTTTATTTCTGAATCTGTAGCACCTGAGTTTGGATTCGGCAAATTCTTCTTGCAGCAAACAGAACTTCAGCAGAGTCCAACACTGAACATTCCCTCATGTGCAACAAGCCTTGAGCAAACAGGGAGCTGGCCCACTCTCACTGCCCAGCCACGCTTCCCAGGAGATATTGGGAAGGGCAGCAAAACAGGGGGGGTTTATCCACTGCTCTGTGCTGCCAGCTTACATGGTGAAAACCAGGGATTAGTGCAGAACAAGCACCTCCTGACCCTCAGCTCCAGCCAGGAGAGTGTTTTGGTGCAGCACAACAGCAAAGGAGCATCTGGAGTGGATTCCCCCCGGGAATGCAGGGGAGCTCACCTCACACAGCACTCCACGGCACGGAACCAGTGCAGGATCTCATCGTGGAGGGTGCACAGCTGAAGGCAGGACAGGAACACCTTCTCAGCATCACTGTACCAGCCTGCATCCGACAGGAACCCCCCTGGGAAAACAGCAGGGACAGAAATGGGAACCCTTTCGAAGGGATAAAGGCTTTGCTCAAGTCTTGGGAGACGACTCCTTATTTCATAGACCTGCATCTACAGACAGAAATCCTGTCAAGGTCAAATCCTCCAGTCCTGAACTGAAAAGGATGAAATCTGAGAGCAGAATGATTCTCCTTCAATTAAAGAATTCTCCTTCAGTTGAGCATGACTTGTTGGTATGACCTAGTTTTCCTACAGTTCTCCGTCAAGAAGAACTTACCAGTAATAAAAACATTTAAATTCCTTACATTAAGCATCACATCTACAAAGAAATTTTAAGTCTAAACCATTTGAAATAGAAAAGCCTATACACTCTTAGATATTCAAATCCAGTGTATTTTTCTTAAGACACCAGGGAATTTTCTCAAAATCACATCCCAAAACACACAAGTTCTTTAAAAAGATGTCACAGACATTAACATGAAAATAATTAGAAGTTAGATTAAGTGAAGCTTGCACAGAGAAAGCAGCAGTTACCTAAAACAAACCCAATCTGGATTGCTTTTTCTTTGACAGCAGCATCTGACTCTGCAATGTAGGAGCACCTTCTGCTGAAGGAATAGGCCAGGACAGAAGCCACTTTGACCCCATGGTCCATCAAAGCCTGGAAACAGTGATGGAGCAGATGTCTGGAACAAAAGAAAGCAGAACTCGATGCCACAGGAAGTTTTTAGAGCACTGGCTCTGGGGTGCCATGAATTCACATGAGAGAAATCAAGCCCAAGCCTCCCTCAAACCCAAAGCAGATGAGGACCAGCATCCCTGGGGGTCTCCAGGCTAAGGGATCACAGCTGTGGGATGGTCTGACACCAAGGGAGGGTACACAGAGTTCTTCACAAGGACACCCTCCGGTGGAAGGAAAACACAGCCTGCCCAGGCAACATTAAAACTGGGAAACAACGTTTTCAGCCCAAACTGAGGAGGGAGGAAGCCCCAAATCCCCCCTCCCCCAGCAGTCAGCCAGACGAACAATGATGGCTCCATTAACATCACACACACGCAGAGTCTGGAGACTCAGAGCTCATTCCAGTTCCCAGGAATCTGATCTGAAACAGTCGAGTTCTGAGTGTAACACCACAAATGCAATATTTAATGACAGGAAAGCTCTTGAAACTGGGGCAATCCTGTCAGCAGGAGAACCCTTCCCTCAGGATTTGCTAAGCCAGCAGGACCTGGGTGCTGTGACTGCCACTGCTCAGGGCCTGGCTGGGCATCCACAAGAATCTGAGGGGGGTTTTGCATCATTTGTTTTTCTTCTTTGCACCTTTTTTTTTCCCCCTCCTTTCTCCCAAGATCCAGAGGTTAAGGGCTGAAATGGGAATTATTGGTTTGTTAAGACACTCACCTTTTATCTAAAGCTCGTAGCACCTTGGCAAAAACTTCTAGTTCACAAAATTCACTACCCAGCTGGCACAGACGACCCTGTTGGTAAAGCTGAAAAAAACCGTGGAAGTTAATCTTAAAATTTAAGGTTGAGGTTTTTTTTCTGGGAAATTTAGCTTAATGGTAAAGAGGACTCATGAGGAAATTGAGACTTTAGAGCATTGAAATCCAGCAGGCTAAAAAAGTAACAATTCCAGAATCACCACAGGGTATCACCACAGGACATAAGTGCAGTGTTTAAAGGCTGAGCACACCAGCTAGGAGAGCTCCAGAGGGGCTTTCAAGGGGTTTTTTTTATCTATAAATGTATTTTCAAGTGTCTGTGTCCTCCTGCATCACCAAAACACTGCCACACATAAGCTACAAACCCAAGAGAAAACCAAGAAACCCCTAAAGTCAGCAAAAAACAGAATTAAGAGCTTTGACACATAAGCTAGAGCACAGCAATGCACATATCCAACATACAAATAAACCCCAACCCACAAGTTGTGCAAGGGGTGACTCAGCAATCCCCAGCCCCAGACAGGCACGAGCCCTGGCCCCATTAACACCTGAGCTCCCACAGGTAATTGCTCCCTCGGAAAATGGGAAAACTGGAGCGCAGCTGTTCCTGCATTTATTGAAAGCAAGGGCCTGTTTCACACCCAGAGTGACCTGTGCCTGCAGATCAGCACATTTATCTGTTGAGTTCTTCACAACAAACCCAGAGACACCTGCCCATGCAGTGCAGGGGGAAGTTGTGCCACATGAGGATGTAAATACCATGGATTTACACAGGTACAACAACACAACAGTGACTGTGCAAAGAAGTGTCAGAAAATCCACTGTGAGTGATTAATTCCCATGACCCTGAAGCCCCTGACCCACAGCTGGGACCTAAGGAAGCACCACTGCACACCTGCCACTGCCACAGGCACCACCAGGGCTCTAAGGACAACACTGATACTCCTCTCAGTCCTAATAAGGGCTTAAAATCCTTCCAGTGAGAAGCATCTTGTGCCTGCTTCACCTTTTTCTCCACAAACACTGATGGATTAGTATTCCAAACACAGCAAGTGAGAACATCTCCAGCCAGAAATTTAGTTTTCAGTCAACTCTTCTTACAAAAGCACATGACACTGACTCCACAGCACGGCAAGTTTGTTATTTTAACAGCAGCACCTACAAAAAACCCTCCAAAAATACTTTGACCTAATAACGTCAATTGCCAGAAATGAACGTTTTCCTTTTAGTTATCTGTTTTTTTCTGGGGGATAATAAATAAAAAGGAAGTCTTTTAAAAAACCAGAGCGAGTTTGCATGCAAAGTTAGTGCTCAGATAAAGCAGGGATGTGTCCCTGCACTTCAAAGGGATCAGAGCTGGATCCTCTGGCACTGAAGGAACAGCCAGGGTGGTGTGTTTAAAAGCTACAGTCATGGTTAAATGGTTTCATTTCTTCAGCACAGCTGTCTCAGGGCAAATGCTCTATAAAACCTAAGACATATTTTCTGCAGTAAAACAAAATAAAAAAAAAAGGGGGTTTAAATTGCCTGGTTTTCCGTGCCCCAAACTGCAGGGGGACATCCTGTCAATATTTCAACATTTCTGGAGGGAGCCAAGGCACACACCCAAGGTGTTTTACCTGGATTTAAGGCAATCAAAGCCCCATCACACGTTGCACAATTCCCAAGCACAGTATCATTCCCTCCTATCACTGAGCAGTGGTAACTAAAAACCCCAGAGACTCCTGGCTCACCAAAAACTAACTGTAGTAAGACTTGTTAAAATTAATATTTATGAGGTTACATAAACACATCTGGGACTGTGCCCACTGTTACATGTGATTCCTAAACTGCCAAGGAATAAAAGCCCTGGTGGGGTGGGAGGGAAGGGCCCAAACTCCCCTCAGCTTTGACACATCAATTATTTGGGGCACACCTAAAGGCTGGCTCAGGGCCCCGAGGTCCAAGGTGCCAGTTTTCACTGCTCTAAGTAGAGATAAAATCTCCCTGGGACGTTCACACCACCACTCACCCCTTCCCTCGAGGAACTAACCCAGCTCCGAGCCTCTTGGAACTGCTGGAGCTGTTACAGCAATATTTTCAGACAGGGTTTGACATGGAAATAGTGAGTTATACGTCAAACTGTGAAGTAATTCCAGGAGATTCAGTAACACTCATTTGTTCATTGAGGACTGAAGAAATGGTTCTCTTGTCAAAGCTCCAGAGAGACAGAATTCCTGACCACAGCCTTGCTACATAACCCAAAATACAAAACAAAATAGTGATTCAAGGAAAACATGTCCTGACACGAACAGCAGAGCCTGGGCTTCTGAACAACTGTTCTTTTCTGAACAGAGAGATGCCTTCTAGACACCAACTTCACCTATTTGGAGCCTACCAGGGATTTTTCTCTAACAATGGAAAAATGACTAAAAGGCTTCAATGGGGCTCCACCAGCTCACACTGCCACATCAATTCTGGCACTGTAAACAGGTATAAATTTAATATGCAGGTATATTATTTACATACCTGCCCAATCCAGCTGTGGGAAATCCACCCTGACCCTCCTACAGGATCTGAGGCTGAATATTGAACTTGTAACACACTCACCTAAACATGCAAAAGCTGCACATCACAGTGGCCCCAATTAAACAAATTAATAACATTAACTTGTTATCTATTATATCATAACTCTCTTAAAGTTCTCATTAGATTTCTCTCCCTGAGTAGATTAAGCTGAAGAAAAAAAACCCAAAACAACTTCTTCTAAACATCACAAAAAACCATTTTAAAACTTATTTTTTAAAGCAGCTGGAGGTTAATTCCAACCAGTTGCACAAGGACCCTCCAGAGGAGGAACTGAACACGCAATTTGAAAAATATGCTCCTGTTGCTCCAGCTTGGAAGAGGACTGAGAAATATGGATGTTTCAGTAAGAATTACAGAGGAAATCCAAGGAGCTCCCCAGCATGTTTTGTAATGCCTAACAACGTAACGTGGAGTATCCTGCCAGGCTGGGGAAGGATTCTGCACTTCACAAACAGCGGGATTTGGGAAAAAAGTTTGGCTGAAGCCACCATCTTCCTTCCCCACTTGACAAGGAAGGAAAAAGTTTCCTGAGTTGACAGTGCACTGAATGAATCTGTTGGCAAATGAGTCAGGACAGATGGGGCAGGGGGCACGGCCTTGGAAAACAACCAGCTGCAAATTTAGGGACATTTGATGCTTTTAAGTGTCAAAACCATCTCCAAACCTCCAGCCAAGCCCTGGTTCTACTGGAGACTGTTTGAGGCATAAAAAAAAATGCAATTTTTCAACTATTCTTGGAAAACATATTGACAGTTACTAGGTTGGTCCTTACAAACCTCCATCAATTAAACAATCAAGAAGAAAACCAACACTGGCTTCAGAGCCAACTTTTGGACACCCCAAACACTCCCCACCTGCTCTCTGTGTCACAGCAGCACAGTCTGTGTTTCACAAGGGACACAAGTCTGAGCCTTCCAGTGACACAGGTGGGAGATTCTCCTCAGCAGTAACTGGGAAAACCCAGTTTGCTTTGGAGTTAAATCAGCCCAAAGGAAATGAAGTGGGAATAGGAATTATTGTTCAGCAGGAGCCAAACACCTCTGTTCATGGTGTGACCTCATTATCTCAACTGTGATGAGTTCTACTGTCTCAGACTCAGCAAGGAGACTGAAAAAAAACGGAGAAGCTACAGGATATTGGGATGAGAAAATATGTCCCATAGGTAGAGCTTCAAAAAAAAAAAGCAATCTGAGTAATACAAGTTATAAGGCAAGAACTTTCAAACCAGGAAAGACACAACAAGGAAAGATGGTTCAGCTCAGATCTAAATTTAGACTAGAGAAACAAGGCATGTGTTAATAATTGGAAAAAACTCATGAGGTGCTGATTGTCCTTCAGAGGGAGGGTTTGATTTGCAGCGGTGGCAGAAGGGCAGGTTTGGTTCCAGCAGCCCTCAGGGAGGGGAGCAGGGAGGCTGCAGGGGGTGTGCACACCAGAAACCAGCACATGCTTCAGTTCTCACCCCAAACCAGCAACACAGGGGAAGGAAGTGTCTGTGAAATCCCACTGGGGGGTCGCAGCAGGATCCCACAGAACCAGCAGGATCCCACAGAACGAGGCTCCGGGATGCTCTGCCTCCCTCACACGCTGAGCTGGTGACCTTGTTTGTGCTTCCCGGGGCAGGGAAGCTCAGCCACACTTCACTTCAGGGGGAGTTTCTCCTCCTCACATGGGACAGTTTCATTCTGATTTACAGAAATGATGATGATCCCTCCTCAGCAAACCTGATCTCTGAGCTCAATCTGTGCTGCAATGCAGGGAACGGACGTTCTGCTGCTTGCTGGGAACAAGTCAGCAAATTCCTGTTTGCTCACTTTCTTTGGTTCAAAACACACCCAGGCGTGATAGAAACCAAATTCATGTCATCCCCAACTGTTCCTGTGGTTAATGATCACATCAGAAAGCACTCCAAGAACACTGGATGCAAATTATTGTCAAGAAAAATCAATTGTAAAGAACCAAAAACACCCAGTCCAGAAAAGACATTCCAAAAGGAAAATAAACGTGGGATGAAACTCCTTGTTAACCAACACAAGTCCAAGATGAGCCTGTCAGTGATTAACTGCAACAAATACCTGGGACAGAGAACACTAAAGCACCTCGAGACCCAAAGTAATGAGATAATGACACAAAACAGAATATAAGGCCGAGGCACAGGGGGAAAGAGCTGAATTCTGTGTAGGCCACCGACTACAGAGGTCAGTATCTGATTTCTGCCAACAAAAATGAGATCCCTTACATGAACACCCTCCCTCAGAGCACCATCCTCACCCCAACAAACTACAAAATACAGTCATTTGATTTTTTTTTTTTGAGGACTTACAGTTTATTCCAGCTGTCACCACTTTTTGATGTAGAATTTTGGCATTTTGCTCATATGCTGGATCTCAGTTAAATGAGATCCAGCATATTTTTTTCTTAGGCTTCTAAAAACTACACCCTCTCTTTCTCTTTTCTCCCCAGCCCCCAAAAAAAAAAAAAACAACAAGAGG